CATGGGGGTGCTTCCGGTTCTAGTCCCGCCTCGGCCGAGTGGCGGATGGGCCGGGCTTGTCTGTAATTAACGGGTTAATTATAGTGTTTATTTTTGGAAGCAGCACTGGGGAGTGCTCAGCGCCTTACGGGGGAAGGGGTGCAGCTGGCTCCCTAGGGAACTCCTTGCTGTGTCCGGCATCCCGCTGGAGGGTGACTGGCTCCCGTGCTGGGGCTCCGGGCCGCGGCTGCGGTCGGTGGTGCTTGGCCCCGGCTCCAGCCCAGCCCCCGTGTCCGCTCCGCGGGGATGCAGGGGCGCTTTGGCAGCGCTGTGCTCTTTCAAGTCCCGCTCACTGCAAGGACTCTTGGCCTGAGCTCTGCCTGAGTTGTGTTTGTGAGATCATTTCTCATACGCAGCTGCCTGGGCTTGTAGAAGAGCTTTTCCAAAACACTGCAGAGCCTCAAGTGCATCCTTTCGGGAAGGGACTGCTTGGCAAAGCCCTCGCAGGCTGCACCCTTGGCCTGGCTGCGCACGGGCTTGCTCAGCCCCACACTCCTTGGATGAAGCAGCCGGGGTTTGACCACAGCCTTTTTTTGGGGTGAAGATCCCCAGGGTGAATTCATGGATGCTCCCAACGAACACAGCTGTACTTCACATTAGGTGCCAAAACCATCTTTATTAGCAAAGTGTACACTAAAACTCCAGAGAAAGATGCTGACAGTTTGACTACTCTCAAAGGGAGCTCGATACATTGAGCTGGTGGCCTAGGACTATCACAGCATCTACCCGAGCGGCGAGGCAGCAGTGCTACGTGGGCTTGTCCTACGGAATGCTGCGGAGCCTGCCAGGAGAAGGGTGGGCAGGAGGAAGCACCTATTGAACCTTTATCAAAAGAGAGAAGCTGGGAGGGAGGACTGGACACGGGGTGTCTGGGGCTTTTCAGCTTTATGGGATTGTGCTTTTGAATTTTGTGCTTTATGCCCAGGCCAGTGACGAGTTGGATTTACCTGGGGAGTTGTGGGATGCGTACTGGGGCAAGGTGTGATCAAAAGCTTCTGTCCTCCGTCTTTGGCCTGGGCTTGCCAGCTGTAGTTGCCCCTGTACCACACCATGGAGGTCTCCCACTCCTCCTCTGGTGACCACCCTTTCTGTAATACCTGCAGGCTCTCAGGGACTGAGCCTTGTACCAACACTGTGGTCCCTGCTCCAGAGTTTTCCAGCACAGTGGCCTTGCAGCCCAGAGCTGTGGATTTGCTCTCCTGCTTGGCTCTCTCGAGAGGAAGCCTTGGCAAGGAGGAGGTGGTGGGAACCATATGGCCTAACCAGCTCGATGGTGGCTAAGAACTGTTCTAGGTTCACTCTAATGTGCAAATGAATTCTACTCTATGGGAAATTCTGGAAAACGTTGACGTTGGAAGCCAGCCACTCTATGTTTCCTGTCACGGTGGCAGAAGATAGCTACAAATTATACCCCTGAGCCAATGGCATTGTCCAATGTCTTATCCTTGCAGTCAAAATCAACATCAACTGACTGGGCTTGCAGTTGAGGTTCCTCTTGACTTGCCCCACAGCCCCCATGTCTCTAACTTCCAGGAAGCACGGGGTCGGAGAGGTGTCTCTGAATGTCCTGGTGCTCGGAAGATGCCTCCAAGTGCTCAGGGAGGGAAGGGAAACGAGAGCCCCGCAAGAGTCCCTGGGTATTTGGTGCCCTTTGGTGGGGTGGCTCTGGATTCAGGAGAGGTGGGGAGTGGTGTTTCTGCTCGGAGTAGACGGTCATGGTTTTGTCAGATGACACAGACAGCTGCATCCCGCTTGACAAGGAGTCCCTGGATTTCAAGTGGAACTTTTCTACCTCTGTGTAGCTCGGGCTCTAGTGGGAAATGAAGAATCACATGGGTTATGGTAAAAGCAAAAAAAGTAGCCACACTCTCTCCTCATCAGCCTTGGAGTCTCATCAAGCTCCAAGACCCAACATGTTATTTTTCACTTGAGGAAGCCTCAGAGCAGAGGAACCCACTTCCTTCCCTGCTGATGGGGCAGCCTGGCAGTGCTGGGGATGGCAGCATGCCCACAACCAGTGTCCCCAAACCAGTGATGCACTGGTCCAAATTAAGACCCCGTGGCTTTGCTAGGACTGTAATATTCC